TTGTAGGCCAACAGTGGAACCTGGTTTCTAAGTATATTACTCTTCTTACATAACTTAACTGTGTCCAACGTAGATTTTGTAACATTTTCTACCCTGGGACAATGGAATGAACTGTCGAGGTCCCGGTCGGTGCGACCCCCGCGGACACCAACGACGCCGAGGGCACTCTCCACCGGCGCCCGCAGCGTGTCCGTCTCACAGGTCCTGGAAGAGGAAGGCAGTTGTCTCTCGGCGGAAAATGTCTTGTGGAAGCCATGCGTCCGGCGACAATGTCAGACGCTGACGTGAGGCAAGGGTTGAGGGACAGAGTGTCGATGGTCCGTCTCTCCCTCGAAAAGTAAATGTGACCCAAAATCAGCATTTCTCTAACAGGGCTAGAATAGAGGGATATGAGGCACGGCTAGAATGTGTGATCTGTTTGGTATTTTGAGCAAAACACATCATAGACATGTTTTTATATATTTTTATATATCTGAGACTCATAATATATGCCTAAAAATAGCATGATAGGAGATCTTTAAACTGTACATTTCTTATCACATTGAGCCTGATTCCATCAAGCACAAGATGTATAAGTCTGAACAATATAAGTGATAACATTCTTACATTTAATTCTTAATAATAAAATGTAATTTCCATGCATTAATTACTAACTGCTTCATTTTGGCTTCCCCGCAGAGTGTAAAGATGTGAACACTGTGGCTTACTGCCCCCTGGTGCTCAGGTTCAAGTTCTGCAGCCGGCCATATTTCAGACAAATGTGCTGCAAGACGTGCCAGGGACACTGACCTGGACACAGCCTCCATTCTCTGGGCCCTGCACTCTCACAGTAGCCTGACCCCCTCCCACTGAGCCTTTGACAGCAGCCCTCACAACTGGGACGCTGTCGAGCGAACATCTAGTCCCGTTACTGTTAAAGAGGGACCTTTTCTTTCAGCCAGAATCCAGCACAAACCTCTCCGAGCCGAGCTGGGCCGAAACAGCCCTGGCTGAGTTTTACATTCCACTGGAGGGAGGGGGGGCTGCTGCCTGAACCCCGCAGACAGAGAGAGAGAGAGAGAGAGAGAGAGAGAGAGAGTGAGAGAGTGAGAGAGTGAGAGAGTGAGAGAGTGAGAGAGTAACTTCCCTCCATCGTCTGTCTTTCTATTATCCCTCTGTTGTAATATTTTGGTGCTATATTTTTCTTTGGCCGCAGGCCTGGTCACCGTACTCTCTTAAAACCTGTATCTTAACAGGTGATTTTTGTTTTGTTACGAGTTTAAAAACAATCCACTTTGTAAAGAACATGATTTTTCCTGATATCTTCCCTCATGAAAAAGAATATCTCGTGCTATAAAATGAAAGATCTGTTTCTATGTTATCATTACATAACAGTTGTTACCTGACCACATTGTTTAAATTCATATAGTCCTGGCTGTTATGTAGCTGAAGTATGAGCAGAGTTTGATTTGCAAAGTGTCAACGGTCAGAGGATTTGTGTGTTTTGTTTGTTTTGATTTGTATTTGTGAAAGCTATAGATGTGTCATTGCAGTGAACCAGCCGTAGTCTTGCCATTTTGAAAAGTTTGCTAAAAATGTTATCACCTCTACAGTAAAACAGAGCTGCACGGGGCAAACAGTGACTCTGCCTTCACTATTTCATGATGTGAGACAGGACATTTTCAGATTATAGGATGTTATTCTGTGGCTGCCGACTGTGGGGCTTGTGCAGTAACTTTTATTGTGAATGTTAATTCAGATCACAGTGAGACACAGTAGAGTCAGCTCTGCCAGCCTGAACAGGCCCAGAGGGAGGAGTGAAGACATCTGACCGCACTCACTTTCAAACTGCATTTTATAGTATTAGTGCTAATTTGAGGATGGATTAATTCACCCGTAAAATATCAGATGTCTTTGTGGCACAGATATGATGAATTAAGGACTGTTTGAAACCATCATTTATGTCCCTATGAAAAGATTTCTGCCACATAAAAAAAAAACTACAGCCATCTTAAATTAGGGTGATAATAGGTGATTTCGTTTGACCACATGGGGGCAGCATAAGCAACATTGACATAGCAATTGTTATGTTAATAGGTGAACATGTTAGCCACCAGTTGCTTATTTCTGCCCACCAGACAAGTTTAAGACCAATATTGACTATTTTTTAGTTCTGTTTTAGGTCTCCAACTCCGGAGGGAAATATCTGACCCTTTAGCTGCTCAATGATCCACTATGTTCACAAGCTACTCACTTACTGCGTTCCTGCTGTTTAATGCTAGGATAGGAAGTTCTCACTGGGGTTTTCTGAGCTTTTTCATTGAAAATAGCTACCTGCAGTAGAAAAAAATATGCAATGAATGAACCAAGTCAAGCAAGACAGCTAACTGTGAAAACTCAATCCAAAGCTTTTTAAAGAAACCATTATCATCCTCATTTCATATATTGAAAGAAATCAGTTATAACCGATTTATCGAATTACACTAACTGTATGAGCTGGATGCTAAAATATTAAAAGGAAACATGTCAGCTTGTCCTTCTAAAGATAGTATTGTGACCATTGCACCCTAAAGGTCACTGTTTTACTGCTGTTCTAAAGGAAACTAATCACCTGACCCACATGTTTGCTGCCCTAAATCTTAATGACGTATTTTATTTTTTCAGCTGTTTCTTTATCCTTAAAACTGTCAGAAATGCTGTGTCATCACTGTGACATCCACTGTGCTCTGAAAGCAGCTCTGTTCAACTTAACACATGTCTCATCATTTCATTATAGAATCTACAGTTTGTCTTTATGGGGATTTGCTGCGATGCTGTTCCTTTCCTTTTTTCTTGTGGTGCTTTGGTTTGGATTGGTGCTATAAGTTCACTGTTGTTGTAGTTTCTATCATTTTAACAATTGTGCTTTAAATGTTTTAGAAGTAAATGTAAGTGTTTTTGTAATACCAATATTCAGAGTTGTAATAGGTGGGTACCACATTTGGCTTTTTTGTTCATTTGTGTCGGAATATAAAAGTTTAATTTACACTCCCTGACTTTGTTAAAGTGGCCAGTAATGCCTCAAAATCTCCAAATGTAGCTCACCTTGCAAATCATAAACTTATTTTGAATACTCTAACAATTTCTAAAGGGCCACTGTACAAGATATTGGCATTCCCAAGCTCTTAACAATTTGAGCCTTATAATAAAACCTATTTTGGCGGCATTTAAAAAAAACATTTGTGTTTCAAACACCTAAAGAAATGTTGGTTTCTCAGATTGTGCCCCCCATAAATATTTGGTTCAGGAATGAACATAACCCACTTGTAGCGATTTCTGTTGCTACCTGTGCCTAATATGAAGGTTCACACTGAGAAACGAGCCTGTTTTATCCGAGTTAATAAGAGGGACAATACCGGTATTTGTTGTTTTGTTTTGTCACATGCTAATTATACCATGACATGTACTGTATGTTGTTGAATACTATAGGTTATGAATCCATTTGTCCTCCATGTACATCCTTTTAAAAGTAAATATTAAATTGATTAAACATGGTGCATTGTTCATAAAAAAAAGAAGAAGAAATGTGGTCATTTGATATTTCTGCCCTCAATGTACTTGTACTTAAATGGCACATTACAGCATCCAGACAGAGGTTGAGATCATCAGTGAGCTATTTCTGGATCTGACAGACTTCATGGAAAAGATGAAGCAAGAACTTCTTCCTTTTGTCTGATGACACTGAGACATCCTCGTCCATCGGATGAAAAATAAAGGGGTGAGTTGATTGTGTGTGTAACATATACTGCATGTGAACACGTGTGTCCCTGTAAAGTTTTTTAGATTTATGCGGTCTTCTATCCTCATTGACAAAGGGTATGAAGACAATATCGAAAAAGAAAAAAAGTTGAAACAAAAGATACTTAAGGACCAAAGACGCAAAAAAAACTACAAGATAAAAAAACGACCAGAAACACGAGGTGTAAAACAGCTGAACAACCTCAGACAGATGCAAAAATCCTACAATTGAATCAGTAGGTTTTTTTTGTGTGTTTTGGAGTGGTGTGTGTGTGTGTGTGTGTGTGTGTGTGTGTGTGTGTGTGTGTGTCTCTGTGAGTGTGTGTCTCTCTGTGTCTCTCTGTGTGTCTGTGTGAGTGTGTGTCTCTGTGTGTGTCTCTGTGTGTGTCTGTGTGAGTGTGTGTCTCTCTGTGTCTCTCTGTGTGTCTGTGTGTCTCTGTGAGTGTGTGAGTGTGTGTGTGTGTGTGTGTGTGTGTGTGTGTGTGTGTGTGTGTGTGTGTGTGTGTGTGTGTGTACACACTAGTGGGAGTTAGAAATAGCTATTCATTGATATATATGGTTTTCATTTATTACTCTAAATAAAAAAAACATCTAACTATTAATAATGGACAGTTTATTATAATGAAGAAACAGTTCTTAAAATGCGTCTTTTTCCAAATATGGTCTGCCATTCAAGAGTCTCTCTCCCCTCCCTAGGACCAGAAGGATTTGCACTCACACACAAAAACATTGTCAGGCAAAAAGACGTACAAAAACGTGAAAACCACATAGTTGACACACACACACACACACACACACACACACACACACACACACACACACACACACACACACACGTTTAAAACACACACACACTCCTGTCAGCAAGGTGCACTTTCCACCTCTGGGTGAAGCTGCTTTATGATGGGCGTTGGAAGCAGCAGCCTGTGTCTGAAGACACAATCACAACATGAAGAAACCACAGCCTGGGTGGAGCCGGCAGCTCACAACTGAAACACCATCATTTGGCAACAGATAATTATCACTTTAGGTTTGTTGATACCATCCACCACCGGCTGCTGCTGGCCAGATGAATTAGAGTTACTAATTGTTTTACCTTCAGACCTGCTGAAACAGACACAGTGAGGTCGTTGTTTTATGTTGCTCAAATGACTTTATACAAGATCAAATAGAAATACAGAAGTAGCTGCTTCAGTCTGTGTGTGTGTGAGTGTGCAGTTCTTGTTTCTCACACTGCATCTGTGGGAGTATGAGGAAGTAACTGTTTGATTCTTGCAGTGGATGTTTTGCAGGTCGCAGGCTGCTGTTGGCTCGGACCGTCTGCCTGCCTGTGGAGGCTGCAGTCTGAGGAGCTCAACCTGTGGATTATAACCACACAGACACACAAACTCTCAACGTTGGACACCTGAGGAGGAGAGGAGGCCCGCTGGAACAATGGTACGGTACCACACCTTCATTCATTTGCTTTGTCACACACACACACACACACACACACACACACACACACACACACACACACACACACACACACACACACACACCTATAGGGAGCTGTATTATGTGTGTACGCTACAATAACCAGAACCAGTTAAGATAACATACATATATAATTTCACTACAAATGCTTTTCTTTTTTTAAGGCAAAGACGATTTTTTTAAGTCTGTTTTCTGGCTTTAAAAATTACAACAGCTCACAGTTACCTGCATTTCATACATCACTTTATATCTGACAAGACATAAGAGGGTATTTCACGCTCTAAGTTCAGTTGTGATATGATAAAGGATATGATAGTGTGTCTTAAAAGGTAATCTATTCAGGGAAATATCAGCAGCAGAGTGAGTTTCCTCTTTTTCCCTTTGCTTTAAAACAAAAGGCAGCTCAAATAGATAGAGAAATAGCTTATCATTTTGTTCTCAAGAACCAATTTCCTTTCCACAGTAGGTGCATACAAAGCACAAACAAGCAAGACACACATCTAAAAGATACTAAATCAAATTTAAGATTTAAAATAACGTTGATTTTGACTCATTTAATTAGGAGCTATACAGCGAAGAAGTCAACATAACATGTAGGTGTTTGTTAAAGTTTTGAGAGAAAAATTACAATATACAGTGGAGTTATTGAGCTGTACTGTAATCTCAGTTTAGTAGATTTATTTTACAGGGTGTTGCAAACAGCTTTGGCAGCCCCTCCTGTGAGCAGCAGGCCGTTGCAGGAAGAGAACCAGTAGCATGTACAAAGTTTGTCGAGTTTCACAAGAGGCAGAGATGAGGTGTGAGAGGAGGAAGTGGACTACAGGAGATGCCTGCAGTTTCTGTCACAACACTTCCTCCTGACACACAGAGCGGCCCTAAGACATCATAACTCACACAGCTCTATTGCTAAGGTCAGGACATGCTGCCAACTGTCTTTAAAATCTCTTAAATTCATCTCAATGAGTAGTTTCAAAAGTGAAAATGTAGAGATAAATTTAACTTCCTGTGTTTTCTCTCCAACCTTTACCACCTTCATGTTTTAAATTATTATCCTTTCAAAATAAGAGTCAGAATTAAATGCAGGTGCATAGAGCTGAGGGAGCCACATGTAATTAGATGCCAGGAAGTGTGACGGGTGTTAAAGGGTCAGCTTGCACGGCATTTACTTTTAAAAAAATGTTTACGACTATGCAGAAAGTTCCTGTTTGTTGCGGCGAAGTTTTTGAGATCAGGGCTGGTGTATCTTCTGCCATTCACTCAATGCATCAGAATGTTGCCTCTCAACTCCACAGTTCTCTAGAAACGGTCCAATATCTAAAAAGCAGAAAAAGGTTTCTCAATGGAAACTGGTCACAGTGACGTCAGTGGTTCTTCGCAAATGTCAGAAAAATGATACACCTTCCGCCCGCCAGCTACACACCTGTTCAATTTGGTGTATGCATCTTGTATGTTAGTGGTGGTGGGGACAACATCGGTACACAGACAGAAAAATAAACACCTGGCTAACAACTAAAAACCTCTTCTGTGTTAGTTCCTACTGTCGGTGTCTGGAGGAACACATTTTGCCATGATGACAAACACATAGACTTGCAAAGTGAAACAATACAAGCGTTGATGTAGTGGCTTGTAATTATCCACAATTCACACTGGCTATGTGAGACGTTGGCACATGAGTATATCTTGAGTTTTTCCCATATACACTGATTGATAGCATTTCTGCTTTTGGTTTCATAGGTTTTATTTAGATGAACACTCATGACTTCCGTCAGAATTTCCCTCGAGGATGTTTAAAGTGGACCTATCATGCTATATTTGAATAGTGTAGGACCATACTTATATAAGGCATATTTATACTCTTTATTTTTAAAAATACCAAACAGATTATGCATTTTAGCCATTCCTCATTTCGCTCAATTTAACACTGTCTTTGCATGGGCTGATTCTGTGAGAACAGCACCATCTACAGGCCTGGCATATGTACTACAGCGTCTCAAGCGCTTTCGCTGAGACTGCCAAGGCACGACNAGCCATTCCTCATTTCGCTCAATTTAACACTGTCTTTGCATGGGCTGATTCTGTGAGAACAGCACCATCTACAGGCCTGGCATATGTACTACAGCGTCTCGAGCGCTTTCGAACGGCAATGTCCGTGGCTGTCTCCTCCTGATTGGTGGAGTTGGCCCAATAGGCGTAGCACCACTTCTGTGACGTCATAGAAGTGTTCTCGATCAGTCTGTATCAGATCCGTTGCAGCCCCTTTTTAAGAGATTTGGGTATGGAGGAAAATAGAGAGGGTTGTGTTTTCTGACACTTGGTGAGCTCCCTGACACACCGGGGACACATATTCATGTATAAAAGACGTACAAAAGTGCATTTTGCATGATAGGTCACCTTTTAAATTATAGAAATAAAAAACCCTATTTAGTAAGCTAAAGCTTTCTCTGACATATTTAGTATCTTAAAACCTCCATGCTTGCACAACTTTGTACCAACATTTCATGTTTAGGATTTCTTCTTTTGTATGATAATTTCAGAATTTAAAGTATTTTTATAGGCAGATTTGTGGGTTCATACTGTATAACTGTTCTTTAATTTTCTGTTAGTTATAAGAAATGAAGGAAAAGGAAGTGAACAAAAACTTCTTTAGTGGGGTTATATAGTCATTTTAATCCTATTGTTGTGTCTGAATAAACACTAAAGAGAAGCAATTAGTTATGATTGGCAGCTCTGTCCTTTGTAATGTCACGTGACTGCCAGGATGAGGTGCAACATTTGAAGGGTACCTGTATTAGTTTCCCTGTGATCAGTAATGTAGGTTGGAACCGAGACCACAGCCCAACCACCATGCCAGAGACTATACAGACTTCACACATCAGACAGCCTAAAATCTTTAGGGAAAACCTAAACACAACAAGTCAACAGGAAACATGTCTGGGGAAGCCTGATCATAACAACACAACAATTATGAATCCTAGCCTGTCCTTGTGATCAGGTATTAATACATTTAACATATAGTCAGACACATCACAAAGTTTGGCGGTGCTTCTTTAAAAATGTCCATCTTAGTTAGCTCAGCTCATCTGTAACCTGTTGCTTGGCAACAAGCACCAGCTTCCTGTAATGGCGACCACAGTTTGTTACGTTTTTAAAAGCCACAAACACGTCATCATTAACCTTCTTTATTACTGACGTTAAAGTGCCCCGCAGTGCTCTGTTTCTGTCTGTTTGTCTACCTTTCTTTCTTTCTTTTTGTTTGTTCCTTATTTGTTTGTTTGTTTTTTGTCGTTCATGTGTTGTTTGCTTGTAAGTTCCTTTTTATTTTGCTTATTTATTTATTGTACGTCTGTATTTTAATGTATTCTCTCTGTATTTCTTCATTTGATTTAGCTTGTTTCTGTTTTGTTTGTTCTAATTTGTTATTTATTTCATTTTCATTTCCTTTTTGTTTTGTTTTTTTTACCTTTTTATTTTTTCTTGTTACTTAAAGTTACTCCAACTTTAAGTAAGACATAGATTATAAAGCATATAATGTCTCAAGTAGGTCAAGCCCCGAAAGAGAGTTGATTCACCCCAGCCTTTTCACTTTCTATAAAAACCATTGTCTCCAATCCCAAGCCAAGCTTTTTACAAACAATAGAACAATAGAAAGCTAAAAAATAAGAATTAATTCACAATGAAAGTGGCACCTCAACAACATGATGACCGTGTGTATCTCTTTCTCTGGTGTGTTTCAGGCGAAGTACCACTGGCAGAGTCAAAATGTGAAGCAAAGCGGCGTGGACGACATGGTGCTACTATCCAAAATCACTGAGGACGCCATCGTGGACAACCTCAAGAAAAGATACATGGATGACTACATATTTGTATCCTGCAAGCTCACGTTTACATTTTAGTTTTGTCATATTGTTCTATTTTGTTTTTAATTCTGGTCTGTCTTATAATAGCTAACTTATCATAGTGATAGCTGTCACAAATATTGATTTTGAATTTCAAATGTTTTAATACAGGGAAATTAGGAAGATTATCAGCAGCTACAGCCTGAGCTGGCGTCAGAATAAAAAAAAACAAAAAAAAAAAACTCTTGGTGACATACAGTATCTGTAAGCGAGAAGTACTGATGTGACGTTAAGCCATTATGTGTCAATAATATAAATCAGATCCAGGCCCCATGCCTAGGATCACTTTGTATCTCTCAAAATCACCAGAAAAAAAAATCCTAATATGGTGAAATGTGTGCAATCAAAACATCCATCTGGAATTTGCTGACACAAAACAAAAATACACACTACTGTAGAAACTAACTACATGTATGTATACATATAAATACACACATACATAAACATATAAGGGCATAAATAAAATGAAACTCTTCCCCTTTTGCATTCACCAAATGACTCAACAGCTCACTTCCTTCTTCTTAAAATACAGCTGAATTTCAAACTCATATTTAGAGTCAGGAAACCAAATTCACATCAACTCCACAAGCAAGAGCAGCTGGCATCACCTCAGATATTAATTCTCTGCAGCATTAAGTCATGATTACAATGGGTTACTAATGTTTTTAGAATGACTATTATTGAATCATAAATCATTAACTACCTATCGGCCATTTACATTTGAAGTCAACATGTAACTCTTCTGTTGTAGCTCATATGTTACAGCCGATAGCTGTTTGTGCTTATCATTAAAGTGTATTTTAATTGATCTGAAAAGCTCTTTAGTCCACTGGTTTTTTTGGTAAATATACAGTATACAAGTTCCTGAACTTCGCTGCTCAGACGTACATCGGCCCTGTGCTGATATCAATCAACCCGTTCAAACAGATGCCGTATTTCACTGACCGAGAGGTCGAACTCTACCAAGGAGCTGTGAGTAAAAGAGGCATTTCATCACCAATATCCTGTTAATACGGGTTGTTTTTGTTAATTTATTATCTTTCTGTCTGTGTGTATCTGTAGGCCCAATATGAAAACCCACCACACATCTACGCCTTGTCTGACTTCATGTACAGAAACATGATGATCGATGCAGAGAACCAGTGTGTCATCATTAGGTGAGCAGCTTTGCCTCTTAGGGTTTTTATTGGCTGTCTCAGTGTTGGTAGTTTGAGTAATATGTAGTTGATTTGTGTTGTGTGGCTTATTTTCTTATTTTGTGTTAGCGGTGAGAGTGGTGCAGGAAAGACGGTGGCAGCCAAATACATCATGGGTTACATTTCCAAAGTATCTGGAGGAGGATCAAAAGTTCAGGTAGAGACAGAAAGCAATGACTCTAGACCTCTTTAAATATCCATCAGCGCGAAGTAGAGGTATTTCTGTCGTGTCTCACACTGAGTCACTGTTTGTGTGTCTGTTTCAGCATGTAAAAGACATCATCCTACAGTCAAATCCTCTGCTGGAAGCCTTCGGTAACGCCAAGACCGTCCGCAACAACAACTCCAGTCGTTTTGTAAGTATGACCTTTAGTGGAACACCTACTGTAGACATTACCTATAGCTCTTGTAGGCAATTTATTTATAGAAGTATTGTATATTTACCCCACACATCACCGACAGTCTTGGCCAGTGGAATAATGTGTTTTGTTTGTCTTTCCTTATGTCCCATTCTCTAGAAACGCCCTGAAGGAACTTATTTCAATTTGGAAGAAGAGTTTAGCATCCTGTAATGACATTTATATATGACAAATATTCAGTAGCCAATTTGTCAAAGCAAAAATGAATTTAGTTTCACCTAACAGCTGCTGAGGTTTGGTGCTTACAAAAATACATTTCATTGCAACCCCTATTTCTTCTCAGCAGTGGTCCTGATGCATCAATTTCACACCTATAAACCACATCAGTGTGCACATCAATTTGTAACGTTTCCTGTCACAGTTGAAGCAGAGGTGTTCAGGTCAATGCAGTTCGATGTATGCAGAATACTTTAAGTTTATGCAGATGTAGTAATGATGGAAGTCACAGTTTATATCTGAAAATAAATGCTGCATTTGTTGAGAACTGTCCCATTCTGACAGCAGTCGTTTAGGACATCTTTATTATATCTATGTTAAGTTTATTTGCTTGTATTTTTGTCTACAATAACGTTTTGTGTCAGGGTGGGTACTCAATGAGTTGAAATAACTCTGCTTAACCTTTGCCCCTTTTCATTTGATCGAATTTCTCTACTGACAGCCAGTTTGTTGCCTTCGTTTTTTGCATCCACCAGGGGAAATACTTTGAGATTCAGTTCAGCAGAGGAGGAGAGCCAGACGGCGGCAAAATCTCAAACTTCCTGCTGGAGAAGTCAAGGGTGGTGAACCAGAATGAAAACGAGAGAAACTTCCACATTTACTATCAGGTCAGGAGTCACAGCCACTTTAAAATGACTAAAGAAACCTCCTTCTTTTGAAACTCGTATTCCCCAAATGTTAGTGCATGATACCTTAGGTGTTCACATTTACCTGCTCTTCTTCCTGCACTGTTGTCCTGTAGATGATAGAGGGCGCAAACACTCAGCAGAAAGAGGGCCTGGGCATCATGACACCAGACTATTACTACTATCTCAACCAGTCTGGGACCTACAAGGTGGACGGAACCAATGACAGCAAAGACTTCCAAGAGACTATGGTACGTATATTTATATACTGGAGAAACACCGCAGTGGTCGGGACCCTCTGAGGGGTCACAAGATGAAAATAATTTCTTACTTTTCTCTTATGGTTCTTTCTCATTTATAACTACATTGTTTACATCTTTTAGCATATAAATGTGTATTCAAAAGAAGCAATCTGTGGCGTTTGGAGGAGAATATCCCCCTTTTGATGTTCAGACTAATAGATCCTATGCTCGCTGTGACGCGGATTTGCATACATTATTCTAAGGGACCAGATGCAAAAGAAAGTATGATAATGGCCTTAATAAACAACAAATCATTTAGAAACTGAAATTATTAAGATCAAATTGCATGATTTTGATCAATTAATAGCTCAGAGCCACTTTATGACCCTCATGTTAGTATTGAGTATTTTAAGTTCCCAAACAAAGCTTCAGTTGGTCATTGCAATTAAAGCATCAGACTTTGTATATTGTATTTGTGTATCAGGGAACTCACGCAGCGTCAGAAAATAAAACCCTCTCTCTTTTCCTCCGTACCCAAATCTCTAAACAATCTGTACAACGGAGGTGATCCAGATTTGCGGCAGATATGACGTCAAATCGGCGGCGGACCCACAGCACTATCAGAAACGTTGCTATCAGAAACCATGCCCAACTGTTTTGGACTTAATATGGTCGGTGTTTACATTAGCATCGCTAACACTCAGAGCTAACCTGTACTGGAGAGCATGTGTGTGAAGAAGCAGGAAATAAAAAGGAACTCACCTTGTGGTATAACCGGCAAGAGAGAAAGCTTTATTTTTATTTAGCCTTTATTTAAACAGGTTAAAATCTCATTGAGACACAGGGTCTCATTCTCAAGAGAGACCTGTTTATACCTGGAATCAGCACTTTTGTAACGGGAAGTGAAATAGAGGGATATGAGGCATGGCTAGAATGGGTGGTCTGTTTGTTTTTTTGACTAAAACACTTCATAGACATGTTTTTTATATTTTTTTATTTATCTGAGACCTATGCTATTGCCTAAAAGCATGATAGGTCCACTTTAATATAGTTTTGACAGTCAAATATTTCATCTTAATCTCATCCATACTTATAATAATAATATTAATACATTGGATTCTTCTAGCGCTTTTCCTAATGCTCAAAGACGCTTATCACTTGTTTGTAAATTGCGACAAACTGCTGCCTTCACTGTCTGTTTTGGTGTCTCTGGTTTCCAGGAGGCCATGCAGGTGATTGGGATACCAGGAGACATCCAGGCTCAGGTTCTGCAGATCGTCGCAGGCATCCTCCACCTGGGAAACATCACCTTTATAGAGGCAGGCAACTATGGGCAGGTGGAGAGCACAGACTGTGAGTTACATGCATTCACTCATCCATGCAGCTGCACAAACATTCCCACCCGGCATATAAGATGTCCCATGTTCTCCCCGAGGGATATGAGCAAATTAGAGCTCACAATGAAAAATCAGTCCCATGGCGAACACCCTGCTAATTAATAGAGTTGGTGAACATCAGTACGGCCTTGTTTATCTTCTCCTTTATTTGCTGCCTGGGGATTCCCTGCACAATAGATAATTGGTGTTTACATCTGCTAGCATCGTGCAATTAAATCTACTGCGGATTTAATTCAGTTAGGTTTTACATTTACTGCGGAAAGATACAAGGCTGCACATAATTACCTATTTTTGTATTGAATATTGTGATAATGATATTACTTGCGAAATAAATAAATAAAATAAACATAATAAATGGCATTCAGTTTTGCAATGCTTTCAGTATTCTGCTTAAATGCTACACTTTTTTAGAAATAAAAAAAGGAATATTGAACTGAAACAAAACGAACCAAGAAAGAAAAGAACAATACATTCACATTTTTAACTGCAGTTATCTACTGATTCGCCCCTTCAACTAACTACAAAAATATCTGACTTCAATATCTCATCTTTACCGATGTGTTTAATACACAAGAAAAGCCATATACAGACAATACAGTCCCTCAATCTCAAAGCTGCCACATCTGCATCTTTATTATAAGCCATATAGGCATAATTGATAAGCTTTGTTTATTAAAATCTTTGGCTATTCTTTGCTTCAGTGCTTGCATTCCCCGCCTATCTGCTTGGCATCGACCCCAACCGTCTGCAGGACAAGCTGATCAGCCGCAAGTGGGACGGGAAGGGAGAGTCCATCAAAGTGACTCTGAACCAGGAGCAGGCCACCTACACCCGAGACGCCCTCGCCAAAGCCCTCTACGCACGCCTCTTTGACTACCTGGTGGAGGTATTTAAACCTTTTATCTCAGTATCAACAGATGAAATGACAGGAGAAAACAATCCTCTTTTTACAGAGATACCAATGCAAGTTGAGATACTGTAAATGCATTTGAATTTAATATTTCCCTTCTGGCCTTACCCTGTCTGTTTTCTCTAGGCCGTAAATAAAGCCATTCAAAAACCATGTGAAGAATTCAGCACCGGAGTACTTGACATTTATGGCTTTGAGATATTCCAGGTTTGTCCTCTTACAGCTAACAGTTTCATAATATTGAAAGACAGCCACTGAAAAAAACAGATGTTAGTTTAAAAGATGGTGCAGCACAGCAGGATTTGTTTTACTGTGGTGATAATCTCACATTGACGTGTTTTACCCTCCTCACAGAAAAACGGCTTTGAGCAGTTCTGTATCAACTTTGTCAACGAGAAACTGCAGCAGATCTTTATTGAACTGACTCTGAAGGCTGAGCAGGTAGCTGAACTGATTTTGTTGCATTCCTAACCTCTGGCACATCTCTTAATTTGCCTTCTTGTCTCTTGACATATGCATTATGTATCAGGGTTGGGTTTAATTTAGTCTGAATATGGTAGTAAATTATTTAAGTATAATCTCTTGAAAATATTTCAGTTTTCATTTAAACTTTTCTCTTTCTTAAGTCTTATGTCTTATTTTCTCTCAGGAAGAGTACGTTCAGGAGGGCATCAAATGGACTCCCATCGAGTACTTCAACAACAAGATTGTGTGCGACCTGATTGAAAATAAATTGGTAAGCTCTTAACTGTATCCCCATAACAAAGTAATATTAATAAGTGACACATTTACTAATGAGCAAATATGCGGCATACAGGATTTACACAGATGAGTTTGAGGTGGTTCAAACCAGAAAACATGCATTTCTTCTGCACTCAAGTGCTTTGCCTGAAAATAAAAATGGTGTCTATGACTCAGAAAGAAAAGCGGCAACCACAAGGTCCGAAACATAATATACAATCATCTTATGTAATACTATGTTTAATCTGTATTTTTATTCAACTGCTTTTGGTACTTATAGACTTGCAACTGTATTTTGCATGTCTTTCATGGTTTTACCCATATTTTGAATGGGTCATTCTTTTATTATTTATTTAACATCAAATTATGACACTTTAAACTCTATGTTTGAATTAAGGATATTTATTTTTCCCATATTTTTCAAAGACACTTCCAAATGTGTAATATCAGTTGCAAGTGGTAGATTAATTCAAACCATTCCCTCCTTGCAGAACCCTCCAGGCATAATGAGCGTTCTGGATGACGTGTGCGCCACCATGCACGCCAAAGGAGAGGGTGCAGACGGCACGCTGCTGCAGAAACTGCAGGCCGCCGTGGGAACGCACGAACATTTCAACAGCTGGAACTATGGTTTCGTCGTACATCACTACGCTGGCAAGGTAGGAGCCTGACTCCTGGAGCATAAATACTACATATTTTACTACTTACTAATTTAACTTAATTTCAGACACATAGGTCCATATCAGTATGGAAATAGTAATAAATACATATGCAAGGATAACAACAAACAGATACAATCATCAATCAGTCTGCTGTGCTTAAAACACATGCAGATACTTGTTGCAACTTTTCCAAACCCTCATGTTGAACTTAAGTCATTTTATATCCGTTAAAGCCATTCAAATTATATTTTTAAAGCAATTATTTGCACATACATTGTACATGAAATTCCAAAGCAAAGCATGAAAAATGGGCACTATTCACAAACATATAACTTGCACTTCTGAATGCATCATTAAACCTGAATAGACAAGATATCTATGTATTTTTGTATTTGAAACTGCACTATTGCTTGTGTAGTTGTTGGCAGATGTGATGGTCATGTGTTGTACGACCCAATTAAACCGCAAGGACATCTGGATTCAAAGCTGTATAGGAAATAACCTAAGGATGTTCTCTACTAAATAATAATGGTTGCCTGCTTTATAAAGTCTACCCTGCAGTTCTAACGTTGCATCCTCTCAGGTGTCGTACGATATCAAAGGCTTCTGTGAGAGGAACCGGGATGTGCTGTTCCCCGACCTCATCGAGCTCATGCAAAGCAGTGAATAGTAAGTCTCTCGCATTTTCTGGTGCTACCACTCTTGGTTTGTTTACGTAAATCCATTAAAATAAAGAAATTTAATTTCTCTTTGCAGTCACTTCATCTGTAGCTTGTTCCCTGAAAAACTCAACACAGATAAGAAAAGCAGGCCGACCACAGCCAGCTCCAAGATCAAGGTGAGAGTTTAAGCTTAGAGTTTAACCTGAGAATGAACTTAAAGTTAAAATGTTTTGGGTGTAACATTGCATTTTTGTTGCTTTCGACAGAAACAAGCCAATGATCTGGTGAGCACGCTGATGAAATGTACTCCACACTATATCCGCTGCATCAAACCCAATGAGACAAAAAGACCAAAAGACTGGGAGGAGAGCAGGTCAGCACCCTCACTGTGACAAACATTAACTCCTTAAACTAAGGGTAAACACTTTTTCTTCAGTTCTATGAATGGTGGCATTACTTTTGTTTTTCAGGGGGAGGCATCAAGTTGAATATCTCGGACTGCGGGAAAACATTCGTGTAAGAAGGGCTGGATTTGCGTACCGCAGACCCTTCAATAAGTTTCTGATGAGGTGAGTTTAATCCCTTTAAATAGGTACTGTTTCGGCATGTTTCTACTGAAAGAAGAACACAGCCCAAACACAAAGTCTCTCAAAATAAACGTTGGTTGATGTTTGGTGTAAAGTTCTTTCCGTGTCATATATTTGAAATAGGGTTGCCAATTACAGGGTCTTTGCAGTCCGCTGTGAGCTAATAAAGGTGGTATGGCAAATATGTGACATGACAGCATGACATGAGTAAAGTGTGTATATGAGTTCAGAATTTCTACATATTGGAAATAAACTGATGCTATTATGGAAATAGACAAAGGCAAAGCTAATTCAAAATGTAACATTTATCCATGATGAACTTGCACATACGACGTATAAGTCATACAACAAATGTAAATGCTGCCTGTTACATAAAAACAATATGACTTGCTTAGGTAAGCTGTATTTTATATTCTCCGAAACTATAACATTTATATTGTAAGAATGTAACTTTATAACAAAAATCACACAAACTAGCCTAACACATTTGAACTTTGAGTGTTGGATGACTTTCCAGCAGCAGCAATATCAATAAACACTCCCCCCCCC